TTTTATCAATAAGAAAAGGCTGCTTTATTCTACTGTTTGTATAATTAAATACAAAGAACCAGCTAACACAGACACTAATGTTGGGAATCATTTTAGTTCTTTTTAATCACTTATTCAATTTGTGTATATATGTAAATTCTTAGAAAACTCATTCAGTTCAGATGTGCTAAACTCTATGCACTTAACATAAAATATGAATCAGTTTTTTAAGCAGTGGAACTCAACTAAGGCTTCACAAGTATCACTGTAGTGAACTGTGCATTGAAGTACAGTTTTGTTCCTGCATGAAATTCATCAAGGAGGGATAACTTTTAATAGCCTTGTAGGGCTTCACTGTGTCATAAGCAACAAAATACAGTAGCACATCTTTAACTAAAATAAATAATAGTAAAATCAGCAAATTCATAGTAGATAACAATTTCTCAACTCTTAAAAAAAAAGGGCAACTCACTCTTTCTCATTCAAGAAAGTATAAAAAAGTGTCCTGAGAGTTCTTTACCTCTCAATATGGAACTTTAGACTACTTAAATAACAGAGTTCGTTGAGACTCTTTGAGAGCGGAAAAGCAAACTAAAATGCTGTATTTCAGACTGAAACTGAGGGACAAGCTATGTATTTTTACATTTTTGTTCTGGATGTGTGTTTATGCAGTACTTAGCAAATGTAGTTTTGGACAATAGGTAAAGATCCCATGATAAAAATGAGAAATAATTGTCATGGTAACACCATAATGATCTGTTCTAATTCAACCCCTGAGGATAAGCCACTGATTCTAATTAACGCATTTATTTTAAAGACAGGTAATGTAAAAACTATAAGGAATCTAATAAGCTCTGTTAGAAAATGAGAACCCAAGGTTATTCAATTAAAGGTCTTGATTTTCTTCTGCAAGAAGGTAGTTAGAGTCCTGAAATTAATATTGAAATAGATGAGCAGTATGTGCAATTTATAAAACGTTTTCCCTTTGATGCCTTTTAATGCTATGTTAAAAAGGATGTTATTTTTTGGGAATACAGATAAAACTATTAGTGCAGAAGCTGTGGAGAAAGATAAACAGCATGAGAAAGCAACGCTGAGAGCCAAGGATATTTCCAGAAGAAGAGAAATCTGAAGTCAAGTAAGCTGTATGATGGCTGCATGATGATGACCCAGATTGTTACAGGAGCAGCTGGCTCAGAACAACTCATGGCTCTGGGTAAGCATCTGTATGCACAGTTAAGAAGTGTTTGTCAACTGTTTTGTTCACAAATAAAAATGGGTGGGAAAGCTAGAAGAGAACACTTGTGTAAGGGATGTTAGAACATGTAATAGATTATTTAGATTATTCACGTCTGAGTGCATGCCTCAAACACTGCATTATTTCATTCAGATAATGTAAAGAATTCAAGGTGGAATACCATGAACTTTTATAAATTCAACAGACCATGAATACATTGAGTGATGCAATACGTGATCAATGCAATACGCAATCTAAAATTTTCTGTCAAGCTACCAGTAATATTTCCAGACGCTGGTGATGCCAGTGATTTCCTAAAAAGATCACTTTTCAGGATGGCCCTTGAATTTTAGCAGGATTAATTTCCCAGTCTTTCATATGACCCACTACCACTTCCAGTATTTTTTGCATTTCCTCTTCATGGTTTCCCTGAATCAGTACATCATCTATATAATGAATTATTTGCATTTGTACTATTTTGATCAAAGTAATGATATCTGGCACTGTAGATGACAAGCAGTGGAGTTTGGCTTAATTTTCTACAGTCTGCAGAATTTGCCAGGTTCTGTCACTTTTCTTTACTGGCCTCACTGGATTATTCCAAACAGTGGTTGTGGTTTATGAAATGCCTTGATGGTATGTAATATCTCTTCATGCCCTCCTGTTATTCTATATTGTTTCATGATTATTAATTTAGTTATATCAGGAATTTATTTAGGTGGCATTTTAAATTGTTTCGGCACTAATATAATTCTTTAGTTGAAATTGATACTAACTATCAGGGAGACTCAAGATCAGTCCCTTCAAAATACCTATTCCAATTATATATTCCAGGACCTTAATGATCACAGCAGGATGTAACCATTGTGGGAGGTTCCCTATTTTCATTTCTATTTGTATTTTCATAGCTTCAATTTGTTTCCCTCCCAAGCCTATAATAATTACAGGTTGTCCTTAAAATTTCTTAGGGTTTCCATATACTACGGAGGCCTCCACTCCAGTATCAGTTAAGTTTTTTGCAATTTGGGAGAAACAGTTCTTCCAAAATATTTAAAAGTCCACATGGGGTTGATGGTCCTTCCATGCTCATTGCAGTAGAGCTTGGCCATCATTTCAGTCTTTTTTATTATGCTGAACTATTTCCCTAGTGTCTTTCCAAGTATACAAGTCAGAAAACAGCTCCCAATCCTCCTTTTCACTGGAACAGTCAATCTACTCACAGGTAGTTCTCTGTGAGTAGGTGTAAAATCATGTTAAGGCTTCAGAGGAGGTGCTGAGGGCTGAATTTCTCCTGGACCTGTTCCTTTAGAATTTTGCACTTTCTTATTATGTTTGTTCAGCCCTCCCTGTTTATATATTTGCCACAGTACATTAGTTGGAATGCCATCAGTCATATCACAAGACAAACCATCTTTCATAAAAGCTGTAAGCACTTCCCTTTGAGAAACTTGATTTTCATTTTCCTTAAAATTATCAAGCATACCTTGGTTTCCTGCGCTTCCCTGGAGGCACTATTCTCTAAGTTTGTCTAACTTCTGTATTTTTCCAATTACTTCACTGAGGGAGTTGCTGATCTCATTGACCAAGAGAGTCATAATCACTTTTTAATATGTCAAATGGGCAGTTTTAATCTGCCCATTCCCCATTAAAACAGACAAAGTATTTTGAATCGAAGTATCAGCATTCTCCAGAAAAATGGCCCATTTCCTCCCTTACTTCTTGATTTGTTGTACATATAGTCCTGCAAAGTATAGCATGGGCACAAAGATACTGGCAAGTCACTTACTATGGAGTACTTAGCATTACATCCCCATTGACTGTCCCTCTCATTTTATCAAAACGTATCATGCACAACAGAGTCCAGGCTGAAAACTAAAAACTTTTAGTATCTCTTGCATCTAAAATGACCCCAAATGCTCCCTGATTTATAGTTACATACTGTATGTATACTAACTGTATTCATTGGTTCGTATTCTTCTCTGTATCTCATGCTGTTACCAGTTGAGATGAATCCATGTCCCTAGCATTATGCAATTCAGGGTAGAACAATGTGACTGGTGTGAAAAAGATATGGCACTGTGAATACAGGGGAAGACTTATCTTTTCTCATCAGATAACATGGTTGACACACTACAGAGGGACACATACTCCTGTTTACAACTTGAGCCTAATGAGAGCCTAGGAAAATGCAGAAAAGGAATGCTGTCTACAGAAGGAAATATATGTTGCTTCTTTATTAATGGCAGACTATTTTAATTCTTTTAAACATTCCTAGGCAAGATACTTTGTAAATCTGTTCTCAATTTTAAATCTCCTGAAACACATTCAAAAAGACAGTTCTTTAGAGAGGAGACACTGACTTAGTCTGTGCAGGGCACACAGTGGAATACACTCAAAATCAAGCAAACCAAGACTTTATACTGGCTTCTATTTATAATCAAAAAGTTTTCACTGTATGCCTATCTAATACATTAGTCACACCTATCTATTACATGTGCATAGCATTATACAAGTACAAGGTTGCACAACGTATTTAAATCTTCTGCACTCACAGGGGTGTCCTCAGTAGCTTTCAGTTGCCAAAGGGAGATATCCCACTCTTCACTTTGTCTATATTTGTGCACAAGGGCACATAGTCTCTCCTAATTGGTCACTGATTTGGATTTGTACTCTCATGTCAAGGATGTCAGTCCTTGTTCTTATTCTTAGCAGTCTTGGATCTTTGAAGAGAAATATCTCATCCTAGGAAGGCTGTTTATCCTAGATAAGCAGGACAACTGGAACTTAAAACTGAGCTTCAACTTGAGCAAGAAGCACCTCAGCCAGAAAAAATAGAGTCAAATTATCAGTTTTTGGAACTTTAGCAAATTCCACAGCATTCCTAGCACCATTATTTTTTGAGGGGCTGTAGTTACTAAAAAACAGTCAAGTGACATTTCATTACTTACAGGAGAAGAGTATTTCCGTATATATGAATATTTTTTCCTCAGGAAAGCTTTGCAGAGCTCAGTTGTGCTCAGCTGTGAAGCAGGACCAAAAAAAAAAAAAAATTAGACTCATAGTTATGCAGACTAAGTACGTGCTCTAAGAAAGGACTTCTGGATGTTATGTAGACTAAATACCTGCTCTAAGCTGAGCTAACTTCAAAGTTGGCTAGATGGAATTGGTCAGGGTCCTGTCTAGATGAGTTCTGAACTGCTCTAAAGATGGAAATTGCACAGTCTCTGGGCATCTCTTTCCTGGGCCTGACCCATTGCATTGGAAGCGTGTTCTATTTTACATTCAGCCAGAACTTACGTTACTTGTGCATGCAGTCTCCTGTCTGTTTGCTGTACCCCTCCTCAAAGAAGTGTCTGGCTGTCTAATGGTACAGCATGCCCATGCAAGAGAACTATTTATTACAGTGTAAAGCCCAATTTTAGGCATCAAATAAATAAAACTGCAGGAGTTGAGTAAAAAAGACCACAATTGAGACGACAAAAGGTGTTTTTTAAATCATAATACTGAATTCACCTCATTTGTAAGTGACTTTATTATATAGTTGTGCCCACACATCCAGCACTGACATTAAAGAATGCCTACTTTCTAACCCTCCTGGGGTTAGAGAGCAAGTGAAACAACATCCCACTCACCTTGCCTTCATCTGGCAAAGGGCTGCAGCTGTTTCTATCCTGTCTCTATGACCTTCAAGTCACAAGTGCCTGTGGGACAATGGCAACTGTCAACACTGTATCAGCTCTGCCATGCCCATGGCATCACCAAGGCCCATGCCACCAGCTGATGCCTAACGGTACAGACAGCCTGGACTGACTTTTCTTACAAATGTTTGTCCTGATGTCCTTGTAGAAGGTGGCACAACTCTCCAACTGAACAGCAGAGGACAGGAAAGGTCCACCAACTGGATAGCTTCTCCAGTATGCCTCTGGCACTGAAAGGCAAAGAGAAAAGGAAAACCAGATGTGTTTCCCCAACCATGGCAAACCCCAGCCTTTTCCTTCCTCAGAGCCCATTATGCCACTGAAATAACATTCCACTCACCTTGGCCTCATCTGGCACAGGGCTGCAGATTTTTCTATCCTTTTTCTCTGGCCTTCTGGGACATCTCTCCAGCTGAACAGCAGAGGGCAGGAAAGGTCCAACAACTGGACAGCTTCTCCTGTATGCCTCTGGCCCTTAAAGGCAAAGAGAATAAAAAACAGATGAATTTCGGTGCCCAAGGCAAACCCCAGCCTTTACCTTCCTCAAAGCCCATCCTGCCAGCAGCAGCAACTGAAACTACATCCCACTCACCTTGGCCTCATCTGGCACAGGGCTGCAGGCTTCCTATCCTCTCTCTATGACCTTCAAGTCACCAGTGCCTGTGTGACAAAGGCAACTGTCAACACTTTACCTGCTGTGCCATGCCCATGGCATCACCAAGGCAGATGCCAGAAGATGATGTCCTTGCAGAAGTTGGGACATCTCTCCAGCTCAACAGCAGAGGACAGGAAAGGTCCAACAACTGGACAGCTTCTACTGTAATTCTCTGACACTCAAAGGCAAAGAGAGAATGAAAACCAGACGTGTTTCCCCACCCATGGAAAACCCCAGCATGTTTCTTCCAGAAAGACTTTTTCGAAGCAGCAGCAACTGAAACAACATCCCACTCACCTTGTACTCATCTGGCACAGGGCTGCAGCTCTTGCTATCCTCTCCCTAAGAATTTCGAGTCACCAGTGCCTGCGTGACAAGGGCATCTGTCAACATTGTACCTGCTGTGCCAATGCCCGTGGCATCACCAAGACACGTGCCAGCAGTGGATGCCAAAGTACAGCCAGCCTGGACTGATTTTGGTTACCTATCTTGGTCCTGATGTCTTTGTAGAATCTGGGACATCTCTCCAGCTGAACAGCAGAGGACAGGAAAGGACCAACAACTGGACAGCTTCTCCTGGAAGCCTCTGGCCCTCAAAGGCAAAGAGAGAATGAAAACCAGATGTGTTTCCACATTCATGGCAAACCACAGCCTTTACCTTCCTCTAAGCCCATCCTGCCAGCAGCAGCAACTGAAACAACATCCCACTCACCTTGGCCTCATCTGACACAGGGCTGCAGCTCTTGCTGTCCTCTCTCTTCAACACTCAAGTCATCAATGCCTGTGTGACAATGGCAACTGTCAACATTGTACCTGCTGTGCCAAGCCCAAGGATTCACCAAGGCACATGCCAGCAATTGACGCTCAAAATACAGCCAGCCTGGACTGACTTTGGTTACAAATCATGGTCCTGATGTCCTTGCAGAAGGTGGGACATCTCTCCAGCTGAACAGCAGAGACAGGAAAGGTCCACCAACTGGACAGCTTCTCCTGGAAGCCTCTGGCACTCAAAGGAAAATAGAGAAGGAAAACCAGTTGAATTTCGGTGCTCATGGCAAAGCCCAGCCTTTCTCTTCCTCAAAGTCCATCCTGCTGCAGCAGCAAGTGAAACAACATCTCACTCACCTTGCCCTCATCTGGCACAGGGCTGCAGCTCTTGCAATCCTCTCTCTATGACCTTCAAGTCACCATTGCTTGTCTGACAATGTCAACAGTCAGCATTGTACCTGCTGTGCCGTACCATGCCCATGGCATCACCAAGGAAGAGGCCAGCAGATGATGCCCACAAGTACAGCCAGCCTGGACTGACTTTGGGTTACACACATTTGTTCTGATGTCCTCAGAGAAGGTGGGACATCTCTGCAGCTGAACAGCAGAGGACAGGAAAGGTCCACCAACTGGACAGTTTCTGCATGCCTTAGGCCCTCAAAGGCAAAGAGAGAATTAAAACATGGTGTGTTTCCCTTCCCAATGGCAAACCGTAGCCTTTACCTTCCTCTAAGTCCTTATTCCAAGCAGCAGCAACTGAAATAACATCCCACTCACCTTGGCCTCATCTGGCACAGGGCTGCAGCTCTTGCAGTCCTCTCTCTATGACCTTCAAGTCACCAATGCCTGTGTTACAATGGCAACTGTCAACATTGTAACTGCTGTGCCATGACCATGGAATCACCAAGGCAGATGCATTAGCTGAAGCCTTCATGTACGAACTGCCTGGACTGATTTGGGTTACATATCTTGGTCCTGATGTCCTTGCAGATGGTGGGACATCTCTGCAGCTCAACAGCAGAGGACAGGAAAGGTCCACCAACTGGAACAGCTTCTCCTGTATGCCTCTGGCCCTTAAAGGCAAAGAGAGAATGAAAACCAGATGTGTTTCCCCACCCTTGCCAAACCCCTGCCTTTCCCTTCCTCACCATCCTTCCTGCCAGCACCAGCAACTGAAACAACATCCCTCTCACCTTGGCCTCATCTGGCACAGGGCTGCAGCTCTTGCTATCCTCTCTCTACAACACTCAAGTCCAGTGCCTGTGTGACAATGGCATCTGTCAACATTATACCTGCTGTGCCCTGCCCATGGCATCACCAAGGGAGATGCCAGCAGCTGATGCCCACAAATACAGCCAGCCTGGACTGATTTTGGTTACGTATCTTTGTCCTGATGTCTTTGGAGAAGGTGGGACATCTCTCCAACTGAACAGCAGAGGATGGGAAAGGTGCAACAACTGGACAGCTTCTCCTGTATGCCTCAGGCACTCAAAGGCAAAGAGAGAATGAAAAACAGGTGTGTTTCCCCACCCATGGCAAACCCCAGCCTTTCCCTTCCTCAGCGCCCATTATGCCACTGAAATAACATCCCACTCACCTTGATCTCATCTGGCACAGGGCTGCAGATTTTTCTATCCTTTTTCTCTGGCCTTCAAGCCACCAGCGGCTGCCTGACACAGAGAAATGCAAACATTGTAAACTGGTCTGCCATTGCTATGGCAGCAGAGAAACAGTTGCTAGCAGCTGCTGCCCACAAGTAAGCGCTGCCTGGACTTACTTTCATTACGTATCTCTGTATCTGTGCCCTTGAGGATAGTGGACCATGTCTCCAGCCCAGCAGCAGACACAGCAGGGTTTCATGGTCTGGGCATTTTCTCCTCTGGCTCTTTGGTCTTGAAAGACAAGAGAGAAGGACGCACAGTCTGTTGCCTCACAGCCACCCCTGCTTCCCTTCCCAGTTTTCTGGCCTTTCCTTCTTTGCTCTCTTTCCTCCCCTCTCCTCTGCTCACTCTTTGCTCTCCTTTGCCCAGGGCTGGCTGAGCAGTGCTGGCCTTGTTTTCGCTCCCTGGCCCAACGACCTTACAGTTCCCCTGTAACTCTTCCAGCTGCTCTGACACAGCGACTGCATCATCAGCGTGGGTTCCAGAATGCGACAGACATCCTGTTCTTCCAAGGCTTATTGGAGCAGACAGTGATAAATAACTCCCGTTGCTCAGGTCCCTTGACAATTTGCTGACAAGCAAACCCTGCTGCCACTCTGTGTGGGCACAGCCTTGCATACATAGCCGTGGTCACACTGCAGCCCCTGTCTGCACCAGAACCGGGACAGTCCACCTTCTCTTGGCCTCCTTGCCTTCATGAAGAAGGGCAGATTGGGGTTCAGTCCATAAGCTTTCAGACGACAAAGTGAAGTCTCTGCACCCTGCTGCTCCTTCAGCTGTGCAACCTACTCATCTGGTCTGCTTGGGCGGTCCTAAAAGGCTCATAGCATGTTGTCCTCATACACTCAAATAGACACATGTTCGTGCACTGCAGTCTAGTTTCTAAAAGGAAATGTGAACAAACTCTCTCAGTGTTAATCAGCATTTAGTTAGTCTGCAAAAAGACAGTGTCGATGCTTTTATGCTGGGGACAGCCAAAGATCTCACAACCTCTGAGTTTATTCCTCTGTAGATGTGTAGAAGTTAACTTCTCTGATTCAATAAGGCCTAAAGGGAATTCATGCACAATTGAAATAAATGTATTGGATGAAAAATAAAATATAGAAGTGATGATTGCCACATATAACAAAAAATACAGTGATAAGAGTCCTTATGTTCCCTCTGTAAGTGAAGAGTGACTCTATGAGAAAATATAAGGAGTGTTTGGAAGAAATAATTAGCCATATGCTCTCCCAAACCTACTGCATCCCTTTTTATTTGCATAAAATATGATCAGAGTCAGACACAGCAATGGATGTTCCTACCTACAAGTGTGCGCAGTAATAAATAAACTGAGCTCTGAGACTCAGACATGCAGCATAACAGATGTGTAGAAAAGATAGCAGTGGCACAGTATTCTGTACAAGGAAACTGGTCATAGACAATGATTGCAAAGGAGTGACATAGCGGACTTGAGAGTGAAAATATTTCAGATTTGACTCAGCCACAGTGTCCAGTATTACTTAGACATGTCACTTTTTAATGGCTTTTTAATGATTTCCATATAAAAGGCATGGTATTATCACAGAATCACAGAATTGTAGGGGTTGTAAGGGACCTCCAGAGATCATCGAGTCCAACCCCCCTGCCAAAGCAGGTTCCCTATAGCAGGTCGCACAGGTAGGCATCCAGGCAGGTCTTGAACATCTCCAGAGAAGGAGACTCCACCACCTCCCTGGGCAGCCTGTTCCAGTGCTCCGTCACCCTCACTGTAAAGAAGTTCTTGCGCACATTTGTGCGGAACTTCCTGTGCTGCAGTTTCCAGCCGTTTCCCCTTGTCCTGTCTCCACTCACCACTGAAAACAGTCTGGCCTCGCCATTCTGCCCCCCACTCCTTAGATATTTATAGACCTGGATCAGGTCCCCTCTCAGTCTCCTTTTCTCAAGGCTGAACAGACCCAGATCACTCAGCCTTTCCTCATAGGAGAGATGCTCCAGGCCCTTCACCATCTTCGTGACCCTCCGCTGGACTCTTTCCAAGAGATCCTTGTCTTTTTTGTACTGGGGTGCCCAGAACTGGACACAGTACTCCAGATGAGGTCTTACCAGGGCAGAGTAGAGGGGGAGGATCACCTCCTTCGACCTGCTGGACATGCTCTTTTTAATGCACCCCAGTAAGCCATTGGCCTTTTTGGCCACAAGGGCACACTGCTGGCTCATGGCCAACCTGTCATCCACCAGGACACCCAGGTCCCTTTCCGCAGGGCTCCCCTCCAGCAGGTCATCCCCCAACCTGTACTGGTGCATGGAATTATTCCTCCCCAGATGCAAGACTCTACACTTGCTTTTGTTAAACCTCATCTGGTTTTTTTCTGCCCAGCTCTCCAGCCTGTCTAGGTCTTGCTGAATGGCAGCACAGCCTTCAGGCGTGTCAGCCAATCCTCCCAACTTCGTATCATCAGCAAACTTGCTGAGGGTGGCCATTATCCCCTCATCAAGGTCATTGATGAAGATGTTGAACAAGACTGGACCCAGCACAGACCCCTGAGGAACACCGCTGCTTACAGGCCTCCAACCGGACTCTGCACCACCAACAACAACCCTCTGTGCTCTGCCAGTCAGCCAGTTCTTAACCACCTCACTGTCCACTCATCTATCCCACACTTCCTCAGCTTTGTTATAAGGATGTCGTGGGGGACAGTATCAAATGCCTTGCTGAAATCAAGGTAGACTACATCAACTGCTCTCCCCCTATCCACCCAGCCAGAGACAACATCATAGAAGGCTACCAGGTTGGTCAAGCACGACTTCCCCCTTGTGAACCCGTGCTGACTACTCCTGATAACCTCCTCTTCTTCCAGTTGTCTGGAGATGACATCCAGCACAAGCTGTTCCATCACCTTTCCAGGGACAGAGGTGAGGCTGACTGGCCTATAATTGCCTGGGTCTTCCTTCTTGCCTTTTTTGAAGACCGAGGTGACGTTGGCTATCTTCCAGTCTTCAGGCACCTCCCCTGTCCTCCAAGACTTCTCAAAGATGACAGAAAGCGGTTCAGCAATCACCTCTGCCAGCTCCCTCAGCACCCGTGGATGAATCCCATCGGGTCCCATGGATTTGTGAACATTGGTGTTGCCTAGGCGCTCCTGAACCACCTCTTCCCTGACAGAAGGGAGGTCTTCCATTTCCCAGATCCTCTCACTAACCTCCAGGGTCTCAGATTCCCGAGGGGGAGCTTTTTCACTGAAAACAGAAGCAAAGAAGGCATTCAGTATCTCCACCTTCTCAGCATCCCCCGTTACCAGAACATCTCCATCACTTAACAGGGGAGCCACATTCTCCCTAGTCTTCCTTTTACTGTTAATGTACTTGAAAAAACCTTTTTTATTATCCTTTATCCCCTTTGCCAGATTTAATTCTAGGCACGCCTTAGCCTTCCTTGTCGCATCCCTGCAGACCCTGACAACATTCCTGTATTCTTCCCAAGTAGTCAGACCCTTTTTCCACATTTCATGGGCCTTCTTCTTTCCTTTGAGTTTGTGCACGAGCTCCTTGCTCATCCACACAGGTCTCCTACCACTCTTTCCCGATTTCTTCCTCACAGGGACGCACCGATCCTGAGCTTGGAAGAAGAGCTGCTTAAATGCCAACCAGTTCTCACAGGCCCCCTTGCCTTCGAACACCCTAGCCCATGAGACAGCTGCAAGTAGGCCCCGGAAGAGATCGAAGTTGGCTCGCCTAAAGTCCAGGATAGCAATCCTACTTTTTGCTTTGCTTCTTCCACTCAGGATCTTGAACTCCACCATCTCGTGGTCACTACAACCCAAGCTGCCCCCGACCTTTACTTCCCTGACAAGCCCTTCTCTATTAGTGAGAATAAGGTCCAGCAATACCCCTCTCCTCGTCGATTCCTCAACCACCTGCATCAGGAAGTTGTCTTCAACAGATTGCAGGAACCGTCTGGACCGTGCATGCCTGGCCATATTGCTTTTCCAGCAAATATCTGGATAATTGAAGTCCCCCATAAGCACCAGCGCCTGGGATCGTGACGCTGCTTCCAACTGTTTGTGGAAGGCCTCATCAACCTCCTCCTCCTGATCAGGGGGCCTGTAGCACACACCCACAACGGTGTCAGCCACACCAGCCCGCCCCTTGATTCTTACCCACAAGCTCTCCACTGCTACACCACTCTCCCCCAGGTGGAGTTCAATACATTCAAGCTGCTCTCTAACATAAAGAGCAACTCCACCACCCCGCCTCACCAGCTGATCTTTCCTAAAAAGCACATAGCCCTCCATGACAACATTCCAGTCATGCGAGCTGTCCCACCACGTCTCTGTGATCGCAATGAGATCATAGCCATGTGACCGCACGCAGATCTCCAACTCTTCCTGTTTATTTCCCATACTGCGCGCATTAGTATATAGACACTTCAGGGAGGCAGATATATAGGAGTTATCTATAGTAAAAAAAGTCAAAAAACACTTGTCTGCTATCATAGACACCAGTCCGTGACATAAAACAAGACAAAATGTGTCCTTCTACAAGGATGTGTGCCATGCATAGAGGATATAATTTGAAATGTCATAAATCAGTTTGTCTTTATTCTCTTCCAGTTATTCTGTTTGGTTATTCAGAATCAGGATCAATCAGGAAAGTCATAGAGGTCACACAGATATTTCTGTATTATTGTTATCCAACATATGCTCTCAGAATGGGACCACAGTCTGCAGGCAGTATGAAAACTAAAAAAAATAAATAAATCTAAACAATGTATTTGTACATGAGATTACATTTTCCATGAAATTGAAAATTCATAGACAGTTTCCCTTAGGATCAGTGGGAAAATCACACTGTTTGGCTCTGGGAAACACAGCAGCCAATAATGAATGCTTCCTGCAGAAACAGAGGCACTATAGTTTCAGAAGTTTGAACAAATGTTCATGTATTATAAGATTTGTAAAATTAGATAACAGAATCTGAAATTACCTCTATTTCCCAAAGATTCAGATGGCATTACTTGAGATGCTGTATTAAAGAACAATAGCTATCAAAAGAAATAAAAAGGAAAAGTTTCTAAGGTAACAATGTAGTAATATGTATTTTAAGGCTGTGCATTAAAATGGCTTTCTTATCAGGCATCCTTTGAAGTGAAATGAGAAGCTCCAGAGGATTCAGACAGCTAGAAGGAGTGAAGGAATTCACCTCGCTCACAGAGAGAAAGGGAAATAAAAATTCTCCCACTGCTTGCGGGATCTCATATCACAAAGTCCTGAGACAGTTTTCCCTTTTATGTCATAGTTGTTAAAAGCATCACTTGTAAAATAAATGGCAGCAACTGGTGGCTAATATTAAATAATATATACATGAAACTGACATCTCATTTTTCTCCACTGACTTCTCTACTTTCAGCACATATCCTTATTTCTTATGAATTTACACTTCAGGAAAAGAAGAGCTTGGATAGATGCATAGAACACAGCCATTACTGCAATTCACTGACAATGAATAGAGGAAAGTTTGATCTATGGAACAGTAAAAGGTACAGCATTCTTGATCATGTAAGTCTGAGTAACTGAGATGCTCACCGTGCAGTAGAAGACTCTGCAATTTTAATGAACCTTGCCTTGCTCTGAAGTCTTCAGTCATTTAGTCCCATGATATCCATCAAATTTAGAGCACTAAACAAAGGATTTGTGTAACGGGGATCAGTTGAAGTGACCTGCTCTTATAATGAAGTACACAGGAGTAGGGTTTTCCCTGTCACTCTTGTGGTTGCACATGTATACCTCACAGGGGTCTTCCAGGGAGTACAGCGAACATGACACATCACGCAGTATAGAGCCTCTTGATGTATCCGTAGAATCCAGTGGCAGAGTTGGCTCCCTGTCATAGCAATATCAGGCTGAAGAAAGCAATTTGCAGCTATAGAAGAGCTCGTTCAGCTGTTTTGGTCATTGGCATATCAAAATGCTTTACTGCCTTAATTTACTGAACCCATTCAACTTCAGCCACATGTCATGGGTTCACAGGCTGAAAGCTGTGACCTTTACTTCCCTGGTATATCAGAAAGTTTTGCTGGGCAGGAAAAGGACATGAGGGTTGCAGGCAGAGAGGAAATCCCTACAGTGGTATGGGATAAGAGAATTGGAAAAAGCTAAAACTTGTGAGTTGAGACAAAAACAGCTTAATAGGAGAGAAAAATGATAAAGAAATAATAGAGACACAAGAGAGTACGAAACAAGTGATGGCAATGCGACTGCGCACCAGCTGCTGGCTGATGCCCAGTCAGCCCTCAATCAGTGGCAGCCGCCACAATCAACTTCCACAAGTGGAAAGGCAACACAGCATTGAATGCTACAGACTAAGATTGCTAATAGGAAGAAAAAGATGCAGTCCTAGTTAGGTAGTGGTTTTGGTGGCAGCAGAAGTGTTCTTTCTATCTAATTAATTATTATTAATTATTAATTATTAATTATTTGTTATCTAATTAAAGAAGATATCTTTTTCTTTTTTTAAGAATAATGCTCATAAATTCAAATAAAATCAAGCATTCTGAAGCCTTTGTTAGTTGTTTTAATGATGGACACACATTTTAGCTAGCACTTAACACCCCACAAGAGGTAACAGAAACTATCGGACTCCTCCAAAATTGACTTTGAACACCACATGAGGATTAATGTATTCTGCTTCTCTGTAGAGACCGTAAAGCTACATTCAAACATTTGAGTGCATTTCCCAGAAGGCAGTGCTTACTCTGTTAATGTAGTTTGAAGGTGGAGACCTTGGGGGACAGACCTCATTTCCCTTTCTTTGATAGGGAAACAAGGAGGTAAAGCCAAGTTCTAAGGAAGCAGAGTCACAGTGCAAGTCAACAGATTTGCAAGATTGGAGTCACGATCAGTCAGGAGAGCATTGGACAGAAAGGATGCTCCACAGCCCGAAGCCTCCAAAACCTACTGTGTGAATATGCATCCTAATTTTACACAACTAACCCATTTTAGTACAACAAACATACAAGTGTGGATGTGGGTGAAACGATAACAGGACTTAAAACACTGCAGAATGCATGTGAATTTTCAGAAAGAAAATCAGAGGCGATTGGCTGTCTTTTACCACTTCATCATTTCAGTAGCTGACATTCTAACTAAAAAGTGCTTACAAGCAATTTTAATGTTTTCATATTAAAGAACAGAATTAAGGAACCATAATATCAACTTAAAATTCAAAACATTCAACCCAGTGATAACTGAACAGCGTTGGTATTTAGCATTCAGATAATAACTTGAAATTTCTCCTGGAAATCCTGCAATCATCATAGTGTTTCACAATTTTCAGTTTATCAATACTATTTAATTTTAAGTCTTGAATAATACAGTATCTTCTTCACCCTTTATGCTATCTATATTGCTTCTGAAGCAGACTGACCACATGAGTGAATAAATGTATACTAGCATCTGAGGTGCTTGGATTAAAAAAAAATAAAAATCAGGATGGGGTTCAATCAGACTTCTACAGAACAGGTGAGTCTTATCCATTGGTGCCTGTAAGGACTGGAGATTTTAAATAGACGACAGTGAAGCTCAACAGATGAAAAGTACACACAACTAAAAAGTTCTGGCTCAATAAACTACAGTCTCAGCATCAAAACTTGCACTGTCCCAGCACGTTATTATAGAATGTTCATTCCAGCAGGAATTAAAAGATGCATCTGCACTTATAGTAACGACGAATGATTAAGAAAGCTTGAACTGCAATCTGCTTGACGATCCCAGTCTGAAGGGTGTTCCACCTGATTACAACTGGGAATTTCTGAATTTCCCATTTAGAATCATTGCACCTCTTACTAAATACACAGCCAATCACCACCGAAAACCTAGATGCAATTTCTTCAGTGTACAGACTAAATAAATGCTGATTAACACTGAGAGAGTTTGTTCACATTTCCTTTTAAAAACTAGACTGCAATGCTGAGGATGCACTCCTGCAGCCCATCACTACAGAAACTTTGCACGTAAGCTCAACACAGGAGGGCACCAAGGGAACAGCTTTGCAATCCGAGTTTTAATTAGAGTTCTCTTTGTAAGGACAGATGTGACATACAGAATCAAACTCCATAAGGCATGTAAGGTTATAAAGTTGGTATGTTTATTATGGTGCTGGGTGCGAGGATGATGACTCTAACTCGCACAACAAAACACTTGTTGGTTGCTTATTTATCATACAAAATCATATATATAGATAAGATGACACAACAGGTGAGTTGAGCTTGCTTAAACCGTTCCAAGATCTCATCATAGTGTTCCAGTTAGGCCGGGGAAATCATTAGGATACGCTCCGCCTCTGCGTGCATGCGTGCTGCTCTCTGGTGGTCATAGGCAGAAGTCTTCTCCAAATCTTGTAAAGGCTTTCTGGTGTACTTTTCACCTTAGTCAATCACTAACTACAGACCTAGTCCTAACTAGCTAGGTTCCTGTTCTTTGTTTCACGATGTCCGTGCTCCTGGCTTCCTTCCATTGTTAAAGGGGTCTGTCTTGTGTGTACAAGAATTACATTTCAGATGGCCATGCAGGGCCAGCAGCAAAGTGCTGCAAGCCTGCTCTGTGCTGATGCCACATGCTGCCTTTGATGTCTCAGCATCTGTATTGTCCTGGCTGCCAGGGAATGGACTGCCAGACAGACATCATTTTCCAAAGCCTGAAGGGCTGCAACAGAAGGAAACAGAGCAGAGATGAAACCCACCGACCTGCAGGGCGCCACCAGCATCCCCTCCTGACCCAACCAGCTCCACTCATTGTTCTTCCAGGCCCAGAGGAGTACCTGAGACTGAGGGATCAGCTGGAAGCCACTGCTCTGGAGTGCCCCATCTGCCCCAGGAATGCTCCCTTGCCCCTGCAACATTTCCTTGCAGCAGGGCAAGGCACAACTGCACACTGCCGAGGCTCTGCCCTCCTGCCCTCAGCCCCAGCACATGCAGCACTGCCCTCACTCACCACTGCAGATTTCATTCAGCATTTCCTCACTTTGTTTCTCAGATTGCTGCACAGCCAGCCCTACGGAAAGAGCTCCCGTCACACCCCCCACTCCACAACATGCTCTCCAGAGCACAGACTGCAGCCCAGCCAGCCCAGCTGCTTCCCCTCCTGTGCTGCAGGAAGGGACGGTGCCCAAGGGGGGACCTGAGCAAGGTACCCATCAGGGCTACTGGTTACTGGTATGGGCAGGATGTATCTAGGGGCTGCAGGGCTGTGTCTTGCTGCCAGGGCAGTGCCCAAAGAAGGACCCAGGGGTTGGGCTTACAGATGAATGTGACAGCCTCGCATCGCAAGGAGTCCTGAGAATCCTCCAGGTATGGCAGACTCTGACGCAGGTATCCTTCCACTCTCGTCTTGTCCTGGTGCAGCTGGAGAAGAGCAGAAAAGCGTGGGGCTTGCAGAGCCTCCCCAGCTGCTGGTGTAACCCCTCCTGCCAGCATCCTCTTTCCCCCAGCAAAAAGGTGTGGCCTGTGTGATTGTCCTTACCAAACACATCCTGATCCCCTCTATGTTCTCCTCCTGGGCCTGGTGCTTGAGCTCCTTCCATTTCAGGAATTTTGCACAAGCCACGAGGGCTTTCCTAGATGCCTAGGGAACAACAGATGCAGGGAGATGGCACCACAGACACACTTCCTAGCGTTTGATTTCTTGCTGACCTCACTCTCAATTCCCAGACCATTGCTGCCACCACTGAGGTGTCGGCACACCCTTGCCTGTATGGTGGTCAGGTCTATAATTCGTACCTGTGCTATGCTCGGGGTCTTGTCTCTCATCTGAAACAGCAGAGGGAGCAGGGCCCTGCACACAATCTTCTTCATGTTTCCTTTCTTATACCACAGCGCAGTGTCCATCAAATCTTCGAAGAGGTGGATGGAGCCTTCTTGCACTTCACTTGACACCTGAGGGAGAAGAACAGGAGGACCTTAGCAACACAATACCACTGCCCATGGTGAGCACGAGTGTAGGCGTGGCTGATGTGAAGGGAGATGCTTTGGAGTCACATTCTGCACAAAGGCGCTGTACAGTCATGCAAAGCAGTGCAATAGGTTTCCAGCATGGGGTGCCTGTGCCTCAGAGTACTCCCCCAGCTACCCCACCAGTTCAAAGCAGAGCACTTCAAGCACCAGGACAAGCAGGAGACAGGGCTGGCCCTCGGCAATGCCTTCGGGCACTCGCTGTCCACTCGGCTTCCAACTTCCTGCTATGGCACCTGGAGAGAGTGCCTGGTGCTGGTAGAAGAGGAAGAATTGGAGGTTCTGAAAATAAACCTTGGCACAGAAGATGCTTGGCACGGCGGTCAGGTTGGGACCCAGCACAGGGGCTTCACATCACCAAGAACAATCAAGCTGCACTGCCAGGGACAAGGCCTGCTGGGCTGCAGAGCCCAGAAGACATCTCATTCGCAAGAGCCGGAGAAGCAAAGAAAGGAGAAGGCCCTCCGGTCAAGCACCCACCCACGGAGCTCAGCCTCCCACAGCAGACTTACATGATTAAAAAGAGGCAGAATCTTCTCAGCCAGCTCCAGAGCAATGGGATTGGCATGCCTCTTCCCCAGATGGCGCATTACATTTGTAAAAATACTCAGCACCTTCAGAGTAATGGGCGTTTTGGCAAACCGCAGGGTCTCCATGATGTCTGTAAGCACAGCCCGTATTTCTCTTGCCTGTACAAAACACACAATTTCCTTCTCATCAAGAGAACAGCGGCCACTCTGGCCTAAAAGCTCTGATTACAGAGCACCAGCCACACGCTTTGTTGGCAGCTGCCAGAGGAATGGCAGCCGCAGATTCTGGGCAGGCACGCACTTATAGTGATGGGGAAGGTAGGAGAAGAAGGGTAGGTGAGGAAGGACACCATACTCACTGCTCAGCTACCCCCTTTTCCAACAGGCCCCCAGGTAACCCATCTGGAAAGCTCCTGGAAAACTGCCCAGGCAATCACCAGGCCCCACCATGGCCATCACCCCAACTCCTGAGCCTCAGGCATGGCCAAGGCACAATGTTGCCCACCGCCCCAGCACCAGGCTGCCCACAGGAGGGCTTCATTTGACTAGGTCCTGCTCACCGTCTCAGGTCTCTTGGACAGCAGGACCAGGCCTCTGAGCACCAGCAAAAGCAGTGGCAAGCTTTCAACCTTCAGAAGACTCTGGAGGAGTGCTGGCTTACACAGCTCTTTCAGGATCTTCTCAGTAGGGTCCATCATCTGAAACAAAGGCAGCAGTGAGAACCAGGCAGAGGCAGCAGGACTCCCTCCACCCTGCAGCTCCCGGCTCCTCTTGCAGCGCAGGGCTAGGCACTGGGGAGACACAGCCTGGCCTGCTGGGGCAGCAGCACCTTTGGAAGGACCCACCATCCCTCTGCGCCCCTGGCCTAGCACTATGCAGGATGACCTTCTGGCTTGCTCCACCTGCCCTCTGGCCTTCAGAAGCCTTTGAGGAGCACCTGACCAGCAGGAGCTGGCACAAAAGAGGCACCAGCCATGGGTGGCCACAGGCACTAAAATCTGCTCAGCCTGCATGGAGGCACTGGTTCTCCCCAGCCCCAGACATGGCTCTGACTCTGCAACAGCCCTGTCTCAGGTTTCCAGTCTGGGGAGGAAGGCTGGGGAAGGCAGGGAGCTGGGCAAGGAAAGCCCCGAAGGAGAGCACTGATGCCTTGTCCAGTAACTCACAGTCAAGCAAAGGAGGTCCAACTCCGCTGTGGTGATGTTAAATATCTCACACAACTGTTGGTCCTGGAGAACACTGCTCAGTTCATCCAAGATCCTCTCTGAAGTTTCCATCATGGGAAGCACACTGTTCAAAATGTCCAGGGTAGTGCTGCAAACAAAGAGCAATGCTGTGTCAGCAGGGCTGTCTCAGCCATTGTGCTGTGGCTCAGGCAGGCCCGGCAGGCCGCAGACTGTTCTGCAGTCTGGGCTCTGCCACCCTGCGTGATTGGAAGGCCTGGGGGCCCGGCCTGGCCCCAGGCTGAGATAGCCTTCCCCGAGGGGCAGGGCAGCAGCCCTGATGGGGATTGCCATGGTCAATACTGGCTGCTGCTGCCCTGAGCAGCCCACCGGCACTGGAAAGCACAGTGGCACGGAGGGGCTGCTCCCTAGGGGTGTATTGCAACTTTCCTGGCAGCAGGAGTGTCTCTGAGCCCTACTCTTCTCATGGAACAAATATGTGGGGCTGTCTGGGCTGGTACCTGTCACACTGGGGAAGGTCGATCAAAACACTCCTCAGGACCTCTCTGGGAAACTGGATGGTCAGAATGTCAAGCAGTGAGAAAAGTGTCTTTTGAAGTGATTCGCAGTTCCTTTCCAAGCTTCTCTGGATGGACCCCAGAGTCTCTGGCACCTGTTGCAAGATCACAGGGAGAATGCTGCTGTCACTGCAGCCGCTTGACCCCCAGCCACTGCTATTGCTGCCCTTCCCATTGCTCTTTGCTGATTTAAAACAGCTTCAGGTCCCAAATAGCAGTGAAGGGAAGAGCGTATTGTTGTCACAGCTGATGCAAAAGTAGATGCTTAGGAGTCACATTCTGCACAAAGGCGCTGTACAGTCATGCAAAGCAGTGCAACAGGCTTCCAGCATGGGGTGCCTGTGCCTCAGACTGCTCCCCCAGCCACCCCACCAGGTCAAAGCAGAGCTTCCCAGGCACCACAGCACAGGTGAGACAGGGCTGGCCCTCAGCAATGCCTTCAAGGCACTCGCTGCCTTTTAGGCTTCCACCATTTCTGTTGTGGCACCTGGAGAGAGTGCCTAGTGCTGGTAGAAAAGGGTGCCCTGAAGGGTCTGAAAGTAAGCCTTGGCAGAAGATGCTTTGCACAGCGGCCAGGCTGGGCCCCAACACAGAGGCCTCACACCACCAAGAGCAACCAAGCTGTGCGACCAGGGACAGGGCTTGGTCTTCCCACCCTCAGACCAGCACAGCCTCTTGCTCTCATGCCTTTGAAGAGCAACCTTTGAGAAGCTGACACAAAAATGGCACCAGATGGGTGTGGAATGGGAGTTTTCACTCCCTGGCCCTGCAGCCTGCTCAGACTGTGCAGAGGCTGTGCCTCTTCCTAGTCCAAGCCACAGCCCCAACTCTGCCCTTGCTGTGCCCCAAGTTTCCAGTCTGGGGAGGAAGGCAGGGGGGAAGGCATGGAGCTGGGAAAAGAGAGCCCTGAAGGACAGCACAGTGCCTTGTCCAGTAACTCACAGTCAAATGAAGGAAGCTCAGCCCCATTGTGGTGATTCTGGATGGCTCTTTGTCCTGGAGAAAATTGCATAGTTCATCCAATATTTTTTCTGAAGATTCTGGCAGGGCAAGCACCATCTTCCAGATCTCCCGGGTAGTGCTGAAAAGAAAGAGCAATGCTGTGTCAGCAGGGCAGCCTCAGCCCCAGTGCTGTGGCTCAGGCAGGCCCGGCAGGCCCCAGACTGTGCTGCAGTCCTGGTCCTGCCACACCGTGTGCATGGGGAGGCCTGGGGCCCGGCCTGGGCAAGCAGGAGGGGCTGAGGTGGCCTTCCCCAAGGAGCAGGGCAGGAGCCTGAAGGGAGGCTCTGGTCTGCCCTGATGGGCATGAGGTGCTGCAGCCCTGAGCAGCCCACCGGCGCTGGAAAGCACAGTGGCTCCTTGGGGGTGTCCTGCAGCTTTCCTTGGCTCTGGCAGCAGGAGCTGAGCTCTTCTTGTGGAACAAACATATGGGGCTGTCAGGGCTGATACCTGTCACTGCATGGTAGATAGGCAAACATGCTTGTTAACACTTCTGTGGGAAACTGGCATGCCAGCACGTCAACCACTGACAGGAAGATTGCCCAAGCTGATGCACTGGTGCTTTTCAGCTTTCTGCGGATGAACATCAGAATCTCTGGCACCTGTTGGGAGGACAGAAGGAAAATACTGCTGCCACTGTCCTGCAGCCATGCCCCGCTGCCTCTGAGATTACTGCTCTTCCCAGTGCTCTGTGCTGGCATAAAATGGCTACAGATGCCCAAGAGCATCTGAGTGCTTACTTCTATTAGCCAGGTGCCAGGGTCTTTCAAAACCAAATCCAGTATAATCCTTGCATACTCCTTGTCCTCAAAGCTGCAGTCAGCTATGGTCTTTTCAAGGGTCCTGAGGACGATGCCTGTAGTCTGAGGAGCACTGAGGAATTTGCTAAGCAGCTGTGGTGGGAAGGAAAAAAGGGAGGGAAGACAAGTCAAACTGAGTGTGAGAACACGGTCTGGAGGGGGAAGACCAGAGAAAAAGGGCAAAAGAAGACACTTGCTTCAGGGCAGAAACATGCTGAGGGCTCCCACCCATGCCCATGCTCAGGTACGCCTGAGCTGTAGAGTCAGCTCTGGGATGCAAAAAGAAGAGGGAGCAGGCTGGAATGTTCATGTCTTCTTACCTGCTGCCTGCAAGTGCTGGCCATGAAACCACAAAGCTTCCAGATCTGCTCCATGGCTCTCTCACGCACAATTTTGATCCCGGAGTAGGTGAAGGACAGCAGCAACTGTGAGGAGAGGAGCTGCTGGTTAGCCTGGGAGCTGCTGATGCCCACTCCCACAGAAGCAAGTCTGCCGAGTTCCTGGCTGGAACCACAGCATCCATGCAGGCTTCCCCTGAGCTCAAGCCATGCCCATCATGAGGCTATTGTTCCTTGCTGGGGTTCCTTGCCAGCTCCAGCTGCTGCCAGTGCCATTTCCAAGGAGAGGGCTCAAATTCTACTAAAGGGACCTCTGGGGGCAGAGCTCTACAATAGACACACCTTAAAGATACTCTGCAGCCGATTATTGACAGTGGTGGTGGGGTGGCTGTCTAGCATGATCTGCAGCATGTTGTCCATAGCATTCAGGGTCTGTAAAGAGTACAGTGGGTTGTGAAAGTCTTTCAGAGGTTGCTCTCACCACCGGGAGACTGCTGTGAACTCCTCTGGCTGCCAAGGAAGGACACCCACACATCCACACGCAGGGAGACCTGGGGCTGTAAAGCTGCTGTGCGCAGACCAGGCTGCAAGCACAGGGCGTTGCCAGTCCCAGGGCATGAAAGGGAAGGGGTGAGGGGCAGCAAGGCTGAGAGCCTGCACCGCAAGGATCTTTCTTAAACTCTGGACACCAAGAATCCAGGGAGCAGCCCAGAGGCCTGAGGTTCAGTAGCTGCACCTGGTACGTACCTGGCAAATCTTCACGAACCTCACTGGAGGAAGGTAGAAGACGACATTGCAGGACACATTTAAGAGATGTAGTATTTCGTCCTCTGAAATTGCGCTCACTTCACTGCAAATAGAGAGACCTTGATGTTAGGAGCAGTGCCTCGGTGCTGAGGCAGTGGTGGAACAGGTCCTCCCCTGGGCAGGGCTCCCTGGGATGGATGGGGAGCCCTGCCAGGAGGCATCTCCTCCTCCACAGGGCTGGCCTGGGTCAGAGAATGGTCCTGATGCCACCAGCTTTGGGGCAAGACCAAGATCCTGTGGGGAGCTGCATCAGGGCCACCAAGATTGTGCCCTGGGGATGTGCTGGAAAAACCAGGGTCTGGACAGGTACCTCAAGGCAGCAATAGCATTCATGCAGTGGTATGTCAGTGCTGTGCTCAGCTGCTGCTTGGGCTCCTCTTTCAGTATAACCTGCAAAGCACAACCGAGATGGCACCTGGTAGCCACTAGCACCCAGTACCAGCAAACTCTGGTAGGGCCTGAGTAGCTCCAGTGCTCCTTGACCAACACTGGCACACAAATGCTGTTGTCCACCTCCACTGCTGAGGTATCAGCAATGCCTGGAGTCCCATCAGGGCACATCGGTGTCTGTGCACAATTTCCCTGCCTCCCTCTTCCTGTACCCTGTCCTCCTCAGGAGTGCAGGTACCCAGGTGCCATATCCCCTCACCTCGATGTTCTGTGGCAGATCGTTTAGGAAGCAGAAGACATCCAGGCCCTCTGTCAAGCCCTTCTTTCCAGCAGTGCTGCACAGTGAGCAAATACATTTCAGGAACTCTATCTTCCGCACCAGATCCTGGCAGGCACACAAGAGAACAAGGAGTGTGAGTGGGGAGAGCCATGGCCAGGGGGATGGAGTGTTGCAGGGTGTGGAGCAGTGTGGGAGGCCTGCAGAGCAGCAGCCTTCCTGCAGCCTGAAGGCAGAGCCAGAGAGACCATCTGCAGATGCAGGCACAGCCAAGACGGAGACGGCTGCTAGTACCTTTTCCTTGCTGATGACATAGGCTTCGATGCAATCAACAGCCTCCTTTTCCACTTCATACACAGGCAGCCAGTCAGCATCTAACCAAGGAAGAGAGTGAGCAGCGCTGTAGAGGGGCCAAAGGCAGGCACAAGCAGAGGAAGGAGCTCTGCTCTCTCCAGCCCTGGGCCCGCTCCCCTGGCGCAGTCTGCCCTGTCAGGCACAGTGTCTGTCAGGACAAGGGGCCCTGGTGTCGAGCAGGGGGCACTTGCTGCCCCAGCCCTGCCCACCCCACTGAGGACCCTCACTCACCAGCACGCAGTGGCTGCACCTCGGTCACCTGGTAGGGCTCCAGTGGAGCTCTCCTATTCTGGGGAGCTTCACTCTCTGCCCAGGCCACTTTGGGATGTCTAGGAGGTTTCCTCTCCATCCCGTGGGATGAAGACTGAGGGTGGGGAGGGGGCAGCCGTGGGGCTGCCAAGGGTAGAGGGAAATGACGTGGGCTGCGCTCGGGGGCTCCTCGCCAGACCCGCACACTCCTGCCCTGTCACCTCGCTGTCCTGCCGGACACTGAGGGGCTGCAGTGTCTGTGCCAGCTATACCTGGGTGTCACAGGGACGGGTCACAATTGTGTCACATTGGGGCCCGCTGCCCCGCCCGGGCGGAGATGTTCCGGGCCCCTGGTTGAGATAGCATAGACCAAATTCCTCAGTGGAAGGGATGTGTGCACCTGCTTACCCAGAAAGCTTTGGAAGTGGGCCTGAGAGGGGCCAGACTGCCCTGGCTTTTGTGTTTCAGCTGTGAGGCCAGAGGTGGCTGCAGCAGAGCAGAGGAGGAAGACTAAGACTCACTGTCAGCTCAGCATCTGTTTTGCTTACAGGCTTGTGAGCTCCAAGGCATGCATTTCTGAATTGCGAAGATGTAAATTACAAGTTTCACGCAGGAGATACAGTTCCGTGCCCTTATTTCTGATTAGCTGACAATACACTGTCAAATAATTGGGAACACTGCATTCCAGTTTCCCCACACTCCATCAGATTTTTTTTTTCCTTTTTCTTTTGTTTTATAATCTCTAAACAATGCCCATCTGGGGAATGTGGTCTTTTAGAGATTTGGCCTTTTCTTGCTGCCACCTGGGCAGGACTTCCACAATGCAATTAAGTCGGCTTTGATACTTGTCTTCACCCTACCTCATACAGACATAGAAATCAAGTTAAACTGAACTGTTAATACTGATATCCATAAGAAGCCTTATAGAGCCACAAACCGAGCAGAAGAGGATAATGAAAGGTTTTAATTGAAGATCTGATAACTTTGCAGAACATACACAAACTCTGGTTCTTTGGATTCTAGTTTGCCTGGGCTGGGACAGTTTTTAATATTTTCAGATGGTCTGCTTGAAAACTAGATGACTATTATTTGTTGGCTTTTTGTTTTGTTTTGTTTTGTTTTGTTTTTGTGAACAAGGATGCTATTGCAGGGTTCTGTATGTCCTGAGTGTCCAAACCATTTTTTATCCACCAAGTTGGAACTTGCTGACATGTAAATCCTGCAGCCACAAGAAGTCCTGTCACACAAAGACACTATTTCACAAGAAAATATTTTAAATAGTGATGGCTCTACTAAGAAATTTTGATTGTGTAATTTTGATGATGCATGTCACTTTTTGGTTATACCTTTATGTACAGGCCTGTGTTAAATAGCTGTTCCATTCAACAGCTTGTAGTCAAACTCAAAGCCAACAAAGTAGACACTGTTTACCCACTTTGCTGCATTTTTAGTTATTGTGAGTTTCCACCAAGTTGTATAACGGATTACTTCTCTTTACATTTTATTGGAAAATCAAGGAAAAATAATGGAAAATTAAAATATGGAGAGATACGATTGGTGTGGAATACTTGATGTGGTGTGAAAGTAAATATCTTCTTCAGAAGTTTACCTGACAGCTGCTGGGCAATTGGCCAGGTTCCTTAGGACTGGTTTTCCTCAGAGAAAACTGGTCTAGTTACATCAGCAGGATCTGAAGATCATCCTTTTCATTACTGGAAACCTGTGGCTTCTTTGTTCTGCTCCATTGCGTTTTACAAAGTGCACATATTTGCAGCAGTAAAACAACATGCTCATATTTACATAAATCTTTGATGTTTATTTAATGTGTTTAAATAATCAGGAAAACTTTAAAAACACAGAGATGGCAGCACTGGTCAGAACCAGCAAGTTCCTCCTCGAGTTCTGAAGACAGCTGCATTTTATTGCTTTATATCAAGCTTTATGTCAACTATTACTTTATCAGAAGAGAAATAGTTCCCTTCTTCTGCACTCTTCCTCACTGCACTATTCTTCTGTAGCTAGTCTCAGGTCTGCATCTCTTGGCAGGCTAAACTCTTCGCAGAATCACAGGGGTTGGAATGGACCTCAACAGATCATTGAGTCCAGCCCCCCTGCAGATACTCTACAATAGGTCACTCAAGTCGGCATCCTGCCAAGCCTTGGATGTCTCCGTAGAAGGAGACTCCACAACATCTCAGGGCAACCTGTTCCAGTGCTCCATCACCCTTACCATACAGAAGGTCTTCCACATGTTAGTACAGAACTTCCTATGTTCATCTTACAGGCCATTACTCCTCATTTTCCAAGTTTAATTAGCGGTAGCTTATTCTGTTTTGGCAATTGTGGAGCACTGTCCTTCAATTTAAATAGCAGTATCACTGCCCTGGCTGTGTTGAGAACACACACGATTGTTGGAAGCCGCCATATTGCATCTCAGACCTCACTTCACCTCACCTGTGTGTCAGGCTTTGTTTGCTAGACCCAGCGATCTTCCTTCTCACAGCACAGGATTTCTGTGCTCTGTATCCCTATGAAGCCTGTTTCTGCTTGAGTTCTTACTGTTTCTTTCTAGAAAATCAATGACCAGCAGGCTACTCTCTAATTTGCTCTGTTTAATATTATGGTTCTCTGCCCTTCAGATCACCTTCATCCCCTGTCATTGACTACACGGCATTTTAAACTTCTTGCTTAGGTCAGCTCACCCAGCATTTAGGGCCAGCATTAATCCTTCATTTGCTGTGACAGGAGACACAAAAACTTGGCCCACACCTCTGTAGACAAGCTTCTGTCCTACTTAAAAAATCAAAAACAAAAAACAAAAACCCTGAAGAAACAAGAGAAACCATTTCCAGAAAGTAAGCCCTGCTAGCCTGCAGTGCAAGAAGTAATCTACTGCTCTTCCAGAAACGTATGGATAGATACAAGTATGTTCTCCATCCTGAGTAGAGACTCTGGTAGTAGTCTTTGTTGCCCATTCCCATTCCCACATGCAAAGACTATTTTCCCTTTTGCCCACTGATTCACTTCAAACACAGCCCATTTCAAATCTGTCATGGCCTTCAGGCAGCAATATGGAAAACTGAAGTCAAGGTGTTGAGCTCTGGCTGGAACGATCCAAGCCAGGAGAAAAGGCAAGAAGTGCAAAAGGAAACTCCTGTGTTGCTGTCTACAATTGCTGAAATTGTTGATACAAGATATGGATATTTAGCTTTCAGTACAAACTACAGAATGATTCCATGGATTTTGACTGTTATTTCTGGCATGGGCTATGTTTTGCGATGATTATATTCCATCCCATCTGCATTTCTGGTCTTGCAGACTGCCTCCCTAGCATTTAGTAAATGAGGTCACAGCAGTGGGAAACAAATATGAACTAAAACATATTTACGTGTTGTCCTGAAGCTGGACAAACTCTGAGTGCCTGGCCAGTGGTCCTCTGCAGCAACTGAAGATATTGAAAGAGGCAAGCAAGAAAGCTTGGAGATCATGACCAGAGAAATGTGCACTTCTACAGAGGTGTGCATGTCTTGCTCAGTAACAAGCGTACTCTTTGCCTGACCATGGCCAGGCTGAAGCTACAGCTGCAAGTGCAGTGTTGCTGATAAACAAAGTGGTATCAGTCAACGCTAGTTTCATCTGTCAAGAAGGGTGAAACATGCCTGCAGTTTTGCAGCTGGGTTCTCAAATACTGCTAGTTCAGGGAATGCTCTAAAAAAATCAAGTCTGAGGTTTGCTCAAAATAGCAAAGAAGTACTGTGTAAAAACTGATGGTGTCTACCAGATATCTAGAAAAAACCTTGATTGATGAGACATACAGGTGTGAGTGTTGCTTCCATAAATCTGATTACTACATGAGTAAAAATAAAGACATACGCGTGGATTTTTATTAATAGGAGATTATTAAGAGGAGATTATTAAGCTCTAAGAGGTTGGCAAATGAGGTCTTTTGTGCTGTAGGAAGAAATACCAGTGAGTCAAAGCCACTCTGAAATGAGATTACCAACAGGGCAGAGCCCAGGTCTCAGAGAATCTGAATGACAATTTTTGCTTGTGCTCTGTGTTCTTGAGTTACAAAATCATTGATTGTCAAGTTTACTTCTGGGCTGATGATTCATTTATGAAGAGGCAGGAGCACCTTTCAGGCTCAGTTGTTCTTTTTGCCTTCTCTCATTTGTTGAATTTGTCTATAAAATGTTGGTGAGGTCTAGAGACTGATCCCATCCTCTTTGTTTTGTAGTTAAGGATTTTTTTGGTCAAGTTTCAAAATGCACAAAAACATTCAGATGATTTCTCCAAGTTAACATTGATTTTCATGGCACACTTAGAGGAACTAGGGCTTATATAAATCTATCCCAGGCTTCTAACGTAGGGATTGTGCTGGCTAGAATAAAGTAGATGTCTTTTCCCACACGGCTGCATTCTCTTGGACAAAAAAAGTAACTTTTTGAAACTGTCCTTAGTTTAGTTTTCTGTCCTTAGTTCTCAACAGATTACGGAAGCTGTGCATTTTATATGTTAATGATCCATACTTTTAAAAATGTTAGAAGACAGAAAATTCATTGGACAGATCTTTCAGTCAGAGAAGAGAGTATAGAAAATAAATTTCAAAGCACTTCTCCCATAGTAGGTAGGAAGAGCTTGATTCATCAGCATTTTGAATTTTTGTTTCTGGCACACCATCATTTCTCTTTGAATTCTGGAAAAAATCATCCGTTTCTGTTTGCAGCTCCATTTTCAGTTGACATAACTGCAGATTTTCAAGTGGAATGTTGCAATCAGACCTTCAACTCAAAAATTTGATCATGTCTCTCTGCTGGACTTTCATAAGCCTAGTCTTACCAGAGAAATGTGTGCCTTGAAACAGGCTGCCCAGGAAAGTTGTGGAGTCACAAGCCCTGGAGGTGTTCAAGAGACACATAGAGCTGGCTCTGATGGACTTGGCTAGTAGGTATGCTGGGGAGGGTCTGGGGTTGGACTTGCTGAACTTAGAGGTCTATTCCAACCCTAAGGATTCTGTGATTCTGTGAAAAAGGACTCTGTACCTTGGCTATAGGCAGTCTTTATTTCTTTGTTTTGACACTTTCCAGCAGATCTATTGGA